TTGCCTGAGCCCGCGGGTTCGAGACCCGCCTGGGCAGGCGAGACTTCATCTCTACAATCAATCAAAAAATCAGCCGGGTGTGGTAGCGTGTGCCTGTAATTCCAGCTACTTGGAAGGCTGAGGCGGAAGGATCGCCGGAGCCCAGCAGGTCAAGGCTGCGGTGGCCGGGAGCGGCCACTGCACTCCAGTCTGGGCGACAGAGTGAGACTCCAACTCAAAAAAAAAAAAAAAAGAATAAGGGCTACAGATGAGTCCTGTCTCTTCATCAATTTCCTACCTGGGATCATTGTACTGTGGCTGTGTGAGAGAATGCTCTTGACTTGAGGGGATACACACCGCAGATTTGGGGAAATCTATGCTGAGATGGTTCGGAATATAGAGGTGCTGCTAGGTTTATGCACTGACCTTGAGCTCCTGCGTCCCCCTTGTTTTGGAAGAAGACCTTTCTTGTTGAAATCCTTTGCATTCATATATCTGTTAGTTGAAACAGAAACACAGAACACGGAAATGGAGGATGGTGGTGGAATTACAGAGGCAGGAGAGGTAACCCCGAGTTTCTGTTCTGCCCTTGGGCCAGGGAGGAAGGGAAAACTGGTGGCCCTGCCTGTGCAGAACGTCCCTCCATCCTCCTCCCTCTCTGAGCTCATCTTGTCCAGTCCCCTCCTGGCCCACCAAACCCGACTCTTTCTGTCCCTTGAGCAGCCAAGGTCCTTCCCACCCTGGGGCTCAGTACATTCTGCCTCTCTGCCCTGAAAGGGCTCAGTCCCTACGAGGCCGGCATCCCGTCCTTCCACTCCCAGCTCAAATGCAAGCCTTTTCCACCCACCCTCTCTACAGCCACCCCCCATTCATTTTAATTCCCCACAGAGCAGGTAACAGGGCCGAACTGCTCCTTGTGCATCTGTCTGACATTACTGGCATGAGGTTCTATGAGAGTGAAGTGTCTCTCTCAGCGTGTCCTCCAGCACCTGGGACAGGCCTTGGCCACCAGGAACGGCGAATGATCCCTGACTCCAAGTCACTTCCCCACGGATCTCAGGCCTGGCTGCCGGCATGGCCTCAAAAAAGCTTCTTACTTTGGTCGGCTCTGGCTTCAATTCTAGGCAGACTTCCTTGTAGTTCTTGCTCTGCAGAGAGAGGAGGCAGGGGTTCAGCTTCAGGCATCAAGATGGGAGGATGAACCCCCATCCCTCCCGGCCTACCCAGCTACACTGAGCTCAGGCTCACAGGCCCCCAGCACCCAGTCTGATTCCTGATGGCTCAGATCTTGGCACGGCATCCTCTTCTTCTGAGCATCGGCCTGCTGATTAGTGGGCAGTCACTCCCCCGGCGGGGCCTGCATGGGGAAGGCACTTCAACTGCAAGTGATTATTGTCTCAGGGGCCTGGGCTTTGGGGGCAGATAGACTCGGGTTCTAATCTCAACCGTCCTCTTCACCAGCTCCATCAACATGGGCACGCTAGCTTGTCTCTCTTGGCCTCCATGGCCCCATCTGTAAATGGAGGTGATGATTCCATTGATCTAACGAGGTCATTTCGAGCCTTCGATGGCAGGCCTGGCCTGGGTCATGGAACTGCACAAGATCGTGGGTGGAGGAGGGGGGATTGCAGCACTCCTTATCCCCAGAGAGAGTTAGCAGAGGCTCTGTTCCTTCACACCCCAGTGCCAGAGCTTAATCCCACACCCCGTCCAGAATGAGAGGCATATTATGCTCAGAACAGAGAGAGAAAAGGCGGAGATTCATCGAAGCGTTCTCTGTTTCCCACCTGCTTCTCACCCTCATCCCATCAGTAGGTGCTCAGGGCAGCCCTGTTTCTCTTTACCAGGTCTGTTGTCTTCAGCTCTGCCCTCTTGGCCGACATGCTGGAGGAGGCCAGAGCGTTCTTCTACTTCCCAGCCTCCCCACAACAGACCCCGGGACCAGGCCACTGTCTTATGCAATTTCCAGGCTAAGGTGAGGGCAGGATGACCACCTCTTTGTGTGCGGAACAGCTGAGGTCACAATGCCCAGGACCCACCTGCTGGTCCAGTGTCACTGCAGCTTAAGGCCCGGGTTGTCTCAGCCCCTGAGACAAGGGGCTCAGGCCAGGTTCCAGAGCCACCATACGTCCCTTCTGCCACAGAGAACGTTCTGGAAAGTCCACATGGGGAGGATCATAGTGCATTGTGTCCAAAGCACAAGGTTCATGTCAGCAGAAGCAATTGCTCCTTCCATAGCAGGACTGACTGATGGACTAGGGGAGTACCTGACATGGATGGCGAGCTTCTCCTCTGGACCACACTCCACAGCATCTGCTGTGTGCCCCTGATACAAACGGACCCCCTTGAGCCAGGAGCCCCTTGGGGTGGGATGCTCTGAAGTCTCTCTTGAGCCGGCCCAGGGTTTCCTGCACTGTTTGGGGACTTCAGTGGGATTTCTGATATCTCTGGCTCCATGCTCCCCTGAGCCCTTCTCCCCCCAGGCTCTTCTGGTTCTGTCATCCATGAAGAGACTTAGGGCCAGAAGCAGTATGTGGACAGTGCTAAAGGTGGGAAGCCTTTGGGGGGGAACAAAAAAAGAACACTAAAGAAAGGCCATTCTGAGGGCGGCCGTCGTGTGTGCTTAAAGTGGAGTCAGAGGAATGTGGTGTCTCATGGGACCCCAAATCCCTTGGAATCCGGGCTGGTGAGCCAGATTTCTCTTTTCCTTTCACTATTGAGCGTCTACTTCCTTCTTCCCCCTCATTTCTTTTTTCTTTTTTTTTGGAGTTGGAGTCTCACTCGGTCCCTCAGACTGGAGTGTAGTGGCCACTTCCGGCCACCGCAGCCTCGACCTGCTGGGCTCTGGTGATCCTTCCGCCTCAGCCTTCCGAGTAGCCAGAATTACAGGCCCGTGCTACCACGCCCGGCTGATTTTTTTTTAATTTATTGTAGAGATGAGGTCTCACTGCCCAGGCGGGTCTCGAACCCGCGGGCTCAGGCAATCCACTCACTTCAGCCTCCCAAAGGTGCGGGATTACAGGCTGAGCCACCGAGCCCGGCTTCCCCCTCATTTCAACTATCAGGTGCCACAGAAAACGCCGGCCTGGATGTGGTGCGAAGAGACGCCACGGGAGTGCAGGCACTGACATGGATTGCCCCCAGCCGGCAGCATCGGCACAGGCTCTGTCCTGGTTCACACACCCACTCGGGCCTGTCCTGCCCGGAGGCTGGAGCCCCAGAACTGCCTCTGGCGTCACTTAAGGGGAGGCCTCCCAAACCAAAATGCATTTATAAAAAATTGTGTATTCTTACATGTTTAAACTTCAGTCACCTTCCAAGTACTCTCCATTGGATGCAATTTACCTGTCAAGATGCCTTTCCCACTGCTCAAGACAGTTTTTAAACGTGTCGACTTTGATGCCTGTAGGTGCTTCTGCCGTTTTTGTTTCACCTCTTCCACACAGGCAAAATGTTGTCTTTTGAGGACTTTTTTCATCTGGGGAAACAAAAAAAGTTCACTCAGGTGAGATCAGGTGAACAGGTAGGGTGGGGCCTAGGGGTTATACTCTCTTGGTCAAACACTCATTGTGGTGTGGGCAGGTGCCCTCATAAATCACCCATCATGAAATGGGCAAACATGTTGAAAGACTCTCCAAAAAAATTTACCGAAGCTGAACGCAGCCTCTCACAACGCTAGCCAGTACACTAATGCTGATGAGTTCCTAGAACACTTACCTAGAGGGGAAAACTGTACTACAAGGGGTCTGCTCTCCAAAAATTAATACCAGCTTTTTGGGGGTCTTCCCTCATATGCATTTCCTGGGTGGTGACACCCCAGACCCCAAGCTGGCAACAGCTGTGGATCTTACTCCATCACAGCCAAAGGAGAATATGCCTGTCACTGTTCAGCTGGAGAGGAGAGGGGGCAGGGGTGGCAAGCTCCCCCAGCCTCACGTTCCCCACTTGCAAATGAGGGGCTGGAACTTGAGGTGCCTTGGACCACTTAGCTCAGTCTGCCCAGATACGCTGGCCACACGGTAGGAGGGCCCTTTCTCCGCAGGGTTCCCAAGAACTTTGGCAGGGTTAAAGGAACCACAGTGAAGACAACTGACCCTGTCTCAACACTTGTCAGCCCCCTGAAAATGGCCCCCTCTCCTTCCTTGTGTGCTGGCTTGAGAGCTACATGGACCTGCAGCTGAGTTTCCTTTGCTTAGCTGAACAGCTGTGAAATGAGCCGCCTTCTAGCCAAGCATGGCACAGGAGCTGTAGAATCTGGGCTATATATTAGGGCTATCCATTAGGCCTATATATTAGGAAAGTGGGTCTAAAAAAAGAATCACAGCCTCAAAGGGAGACTTCTGTATAAAGGAAAAAATTATATATATATGATTTAATATATTATATTTAATACATAATATAATGATATGGTATTATCATTTGGGCAGAAATGTAACTACAACCCACAACATGTGCCTGCTTTCTCAGTGCTAACTGTTCCTGTTCTCAAATGCTGCCCATCCTTGCAGTTATCAGCACGTTCTGGAAAGGCTGAGGAAATCCGTATGGTGAACTGACTCATCCCATGAGCCTCACTTTCTTTTCTTCTTTAATAAGATCTTGAAACTTGCACCAGGCATGAGGTTGAAGCCATGTTGCAATGTCAGCTACTGCTGGGACATAACTTTGCTCTGTGGAAGCCATCGGATGTTCTCACCTGAAGAATGTCAGAGACACTGTTCCTAATCCTCCTTCACAGCAAAATCTGTTCGTACCAGTGCAAGGAGTATGAAGCCCACTGGTGTTCCATCAGAGTTCAGGGAAAAGGATTGTTCACAACAGACCGAAAGAAGATGGTGTGTGTCCTTTTTCTCCAAGTTGACGTCATTTGGATTTCATTTTCTTTACAAGGGTCCTGTTTATTTTGTTTGTGTTTTTGGAGTTTTTTTCAGTTTCATGATGACAATCTAGTGTGGGGAGGCTGTGAGGGGCGGGATGAGAGGGAATTTTTAAATGGCTGTAAGCCTCTGAGTTTGGCCTCTTGTAATTTGTCCCACAATGAGGCCTAGGCTCAGCCACCACCCTCATGGAGTCCCAGAGAATGTGAACAGGATGTCGTATGTGCCTAGGGGCTTATCTGACTGCTGGTGGGCCCTTGTTCTAAAGTCCTTTGATTGGGGTAGAATGTTTTCTAAAGGTGCCCAGAACCCCAACGGCTGCGGTCTCCAGTCAAACACCAACAGACGTGGTTCAGCACCTGTGACCAAGACAAGTCGCTATGATGACACCCTGGCAGCTTACATCCCGACAGGCTGCAGCATCTGGGCAGCTGCCTCAGGAAAATGGGTTTCTCTAGGCTGGTTTCCAGCTGTAAGACAACCTCTGACATAAGTTTTTTGGTTTGTTTTTTTTTTGAGTCGGAGTCTCACTCTGTCGCCCAGACTGGTGTGCAGTGGCCACTCCCTGCCACCGCAGCCTCAACCTGCTAGGCTCCAGCGATCCTTCCGCCTCAGCCTTCCAAGTAGCTGGAACTACAGGCATGCACTACCGTGCCCGGATGATTTTTTGATTTATTGTAGAGATGAGGTCTCGCCAAGATGCCCAGGAGGGTCTCAACCTGCAGGCTCAGGCAATCCACTCACCTCAGCCTCCCAAAGGCGTGGGATTACAGGCTGAGCCACCAAGCCTGGCTGACATAATTTTTAGAGATTTCATATGATTGATTACTGTGTTGTCCTACTTCGCTGAGTTATAGCCTCCTTAGAAAGTTCTACTCTGTGCAGGGAACAATTTTTTATCATGGACACAATTGATTACTATGCAATTTCTGATCCTTTCTGTAAGCAGTGTATCAGAATTTGGCTAGAATCATGATTCAACTATATATATTTAGAGACAGAATCTTGTTCTGTGGCCCAGGCTGGATGGAGTACAGTGGTTTGATTACAGCTCACCCTAGCCTCAAACTCCTGTTCTTAAGCGATCCTCCCACCTCAGCCTCTCAGGTAGCTAGGACTACAGGCGTGCAACACCATACCCAGATAATTTTTTTAATATTTGTTTTTTTGTAGAGCTGGGCCCTCGCTATGTTCCCCAGGCTGGTCTGGAACTCCAGGTCTCAAGTGATCCTTCCACCTCAGCCTTCCAAAAAGCGCTGGGATTACAGGCATGAGCCATTTTGCCCAGCCCTACGATATTTTTTCTTTGGAAAACTTAATGCAGTTTATATCATAAGAACTTCTGGTTCCTCTATTTCAGAAACAAAATATAACATTATGAACAGGTGGGACAAGTCAAGAGCCAGGCTGACCTGGCTCCAGTTATTTGTAAATTTCCAGCTATTTCAGTACAGCCAAAGACTGTACTTTAAGGAATCACCACACTGTTTTCCACAGAGGCTGTACTAGTTTACACTCCCACCAACAGTATAGAAGTGTACCCTTTTCACCACATCCTCTCCAGCATCTGTTGTTTTTTAAGTTATTGATGATGGCCATCCTGACTGGAGTTAGGTGGTATCTCAGTGTGGTTTTAATTTGCATTTCTTTGATGACTAGTGAGGATGAGCATTTAAAAAATCGACCTTCCATATGACCCTGCAATCCCCCTACTGGCAATATACTTGGAGGAACTCAAATCACTCTATGGAAAAGATACCTGTACATGCATGTTTACTGCAGCATTATTCACAATAGCAAAAACATGGAACCAACCGTGCTGCCCATCGAAAGAGGACTAGATAAAAGGAAATGTGGTACATATACATGAAGGAATATTACACCACCATAAAAAAGGTCAAAATTATGAACTTCACAGCAACTTGGACAGAGTTAGAACCTGTAATACTGAGTGATCTATCACAGAAACAAAGAACTGAGTATCACATGTTCTCACTCATAAGCAGACCTGGAACAATTATCATATACTGTATGAAGGGGATTGGCAATGGGAGAAACTGCCAGGGGAGGGAGGAAAGTGCCGGGGAAGG